CAGCGCGGTGGTGGCGGCGGCGTCTTCTGGGCTCCGTGCTTACAGGGCTTGTTCCTCCTGCTGGCAGTCCGGATTGGGGGTACGGGGTGTTGCTGAGTTCGGCGCAGGGTTTAGAGGGAGGGTGTAAGTACATTGGCCGTGAATTAGCACCTGGAAGCATAAAGTTCGCACTAGTTTGATCTATTCTAGTCCAAACTATTCTAGTCCTTTTCTATTCTAAAAAGGAAGTGCTAGTTTCCGTATGAGATAGTGATAACGTGCCTTTGCAACTTTAAATTGGTGTTACAGCTCAGCTTTGTCTCCAGAGAAATAAAAGCTCATGAGTGCACTGCTCATAGCTCCAAACATCCTTCTATCACCTCCTCAAACTGTACCCCCATGCATTTTAAGTATCTTGGCCAGTGCTCCCTGAGTTTAAAAGGTAGACGTTTTTTGAGTACATGAAGTTTCGGCAGTTTTCCTGAAAACCTGAGTTTAAGGAGAACAGGGACATCCAGTTGATTTACCTGACGGAAATGCCACTAGATGAGTTTGGTGGTGTTATCAGACACCAGAAAGCAGGGGGAGGCACCATTGAAGGTGTTACTCTATTTCCATGAAAAGTGAAAAGCATTGTTTGGGACTCTCATCTCACCACATCTAGCTACTCAAGCCATGAGACACAAAACCGTGGGAAACCAGGCTTAGTAAGTTCTGCTACTCAGAGAAGTGCTTGTTAAGTACTTGAAAGATGCTCAGATGCTGTTGTGAGAGGGGAAGAAAACATAAATTTTCAAATAGCTTTTCTAAAATGTAAATATCTGGAAAAAGTCAATTTTTAAGTTCTCTAGTGGGGATCTTTGTAGTGATATACATTTATACATATGAATACAGTGATAAGATCTAATCTTGCTTCAGTGTTCTGGGAAAATATGCATACGTGGAAGGATATAAAACATGCATAATAAACACACAAAAAAGAAACACATTGACTTCTAAGAATCATATCTTTTATGGTACAAAATATCCAAAAATGTAAAATTGATAGTATCTCTGTATTGGTAAAGCCAGTACAGGTGACTTTAGGTGAGAAATAGGTGAAGAAAAAGAGAGTGCATGTATCTGCAAAGTGCTGCTGACATGTGTGGTTTTACGTTCATTTTCAAAGTAATTCCAAACGCAGCTGGATGACAAGGGATGCGAGTTCAAGAAATATTTTTAAGAGCTATTCCACTCGAGTTCATGTTATTTATCATCTCTAACCTATGACTCCTTTTTGGAGCTCTTTATTTGGGGTTTTGTTGGGTTGGTTTACTTGGGGGGGGATGGTTTTTTTTGAGACGAAGAAGACTTAAATACTGATAGAATGGGGAAAATACACTTCCACTGCCTAAGGTAATTTGTAGGAGCTTTCCTCTGTGCAACTGCAAGTGATTACATCTTTCACTCATTAGTCTCACTGCAAAAAAATAATACTTTGAAATGTTGGAAGGTTCCACAGAAGAATGGAGAAAATGGAAGTGAGCTCAGAAGCTACAAGGAATAGCATTGCCCATCAAAGCAATGTTTTGTGCGCTGTTGCACTTGGTCATAGTAGCTGCCTGCTTGGCATTGATCACGTTACTCTAGATTATTAAATGTAGGAGTCTTAGAAAATAGCACATGTGGAGATCTTGCTTCTTGAAGTGTTAAGTCTTGCAAAATAAATCCTCCAGTCAGATGCTACAGAAAGTTTCTAAAGCAATGTTTTGCTCTAAAGAAGAAAGAGGTATCCCTTCAGTGGGCAGATCTACAGTCACTATTCTTTAGTCCTGTCCTGGTTTAGTGATAGTAACCATTATGTCCCTTTGGGTGAAGAGGAGAAGCGAGTTTGATCCTCCTTGGGTCATGCCTCAGGGACCCGATTATATGAAACGCTGAGCAACCTCAAATCCCATGGAAATCAGTCTGAGGTTGAAGTACTTGATGGTTTGTGTGATCAAATGTCAGCATTATTAACTGAATGCCAAGTGCAGATTTGGGGTTTGCTTTCTTTGTATCATTGCTGCTAATGGCAGTCAAATAAAAGGCAAATGGTACAAAATTCACTTTGAGATTCTCTATTTTTATCATCAAAATAGCCCAAAATTACCTCAGCTTGCCTTCCAGTCCTTGCACTGGATTTAAAGAATTAGCTGCAAAGAAAACTCATGCTGCTTTTTCTATAAAATGAATACATTTGCATCTGATTCATGCAAGCATAAATTTCCTGTGATATTTTCACAGTTGTTTGTCAGAGGTGGGTGTAAGGGTTGAATGCAGAGCTTATTTAGACAGCTTACTTCAGTCTCTCTTTTTGAAAAATGTTATTGTTTCGGGTAAATTGGAAAGCTCTTAATATTTGAGTGGATGCTGGAGCATAAAGTGCATGATGTATTATACATATATTTAAATTATCCGTACCACCCTCTCTGTTAATTACTTCTGTTTCCTGATTCTGTAGAGTGTAACATACCTCCTGGAGTCTCATTTTGTACCGACCTGAATCGAAATACTGATCCATCAAATAGCATGTGCTGAGCATGTCATAAATATTTCAAGCCTCAGTCTCTTAGTTCTTGAGTAGACCTATTAGAGTCAAATTGTATGAAAGATGAATCTTACTTTTCTGTAATGAGTTCTGCTCCATAGTTCTGACCAAGCAGCACAATGAGGTATACAGATTTTAAAATAGATAGTGTTTAAAATCCTGAGAACATTGTTTTGCAAAGTTTTCCGTGATACCACCTCAGTGAGATGGTGGGTCTACAATGGCGCCGTTTCTTTTCAACCCTGAAGTTAGTTCTTTGAGCTAACACTTTTTGTTCCACATTTGCACGTCTTGCACAGTAGACCCCTTGCCTATGGCTGAGGATTGCCATCAATGTGTGTCCTTTTGCAGTGCAATAAACAGGTTACTTTTTAGAGGAAAACAAAACGCATTACAAAGGTAAATTATCACTGAATTGCTATAGAAAAAGCTGCCTCTGGAGAAGCAGATGATTGTGTTTCGGCCTGCATTAAAAGTAGATACAGACCTACTCTTGTGTACCTGCATCCTACTGGGGTCAAGTACTCAGTTTAGTGGTAGTTCAACTTGTGGGTTTTTTTTCAGCAATGCTTTAAGAGAATATCAGGAACTTACAATTCAGAAAACTAGGAATAAAATTATTTCTTTCTAACAATGACCAATGAAAAATATTAAGCCTAATAGTATAGTTTGCATGACAATTCTAAAACTGAATGATGTTTTTCTTTCCTATTTAAAGGAAGAGTCAAGGCTGGATGTTCTGATAAATAATGCAGGGATATTCCAGTGTCCATACATGAAGACAGAGGATGGTTTTGAGATGCAATTTGGTGTAAACCACTTGGGTCACTTCTTGCTCACCAACCTTCTTCTGGGCCTCCTCAAAAATTCTGCTCCGAGCAGGATTGTTGTAGTATCCTCAAAGCTTTACAAATATGGAGAGATCAACTTTGAAGACTTGAACAGTGAAATAAGTTACAATAAAAGCTTTTGTTACAGTCGGAGTAAACTGGCTAACATATTATTTGCAAGGGAGCTAGCCCGTCGGTTAGAAGGGACAGGAGTCACCGTCAATTCACTTCATCCTGGGATTGTCAGAACAAATCTAGGCAGATATGTGAATATTCCTTTGCTGGCAAAACCCCTATTCAACTTGGTGTCATGGGCTTTCTTCAAAACACCCCTGGAAGGAGCCCAGACTTCTATTTATTTGGCCTCTTCTCCTGATGTTGAAGGTGTGTCAGGAAAATATTTTGGGGACTGCAAAGAGGAAGAACTCCTGCCCAAAGCCATGGATGACTTGGTTGCAAGAAAGTTGTGGGATATCAGTGAAGTGATGGTTGGCTTATTGAAGTAAGTGCCAAGGGGTATCTGCAAAACATGCAGATAATTATGCAGTGCATATTTGCAACAGTGTAATTCTCTGTTTAAATGTTGTGGGAATACAGATTACTTTGCTCAATAAGATTAAATAATGGAGTGTTTTATGCTGGAACTCTGTTTTGAAATAAAGAACAATCTTTATTTAATAGACACGGGCATTCAGAAAAGTCTGAAATAGAGTTTGAGGGAGTGAATATAATTTCTGGTTAAATCTGCTTGGAAACTCATGTTCTACAAATAAAAATCAAACAAAACTGTGTTTTGTAATATGTATGCATACTTGTCATATTCCACTACTTGTAGTCGGGCTGGACAAAGCAGGGTACTCATGGTGAAACACTTCTGCTGTAAAAAGGTTTTGAAAATAGATCCTAATAATGATTGTTGTGTTTTTTTGAACCATCACAATGAAAAAATGGAATAAACAGTTTTACTAATATCTTATGCTGTAATCGTGTAGGCTTTTGAGTGCCATTCAAAGGCATGTTGTCAGCCTCATGGTTCAGTGAACAAAACCACTGAGCCGTATACAGTTAACTGTGAAGCACAAAGTCTACTTTTTTTGGTGGTGTTGCTGCTATTCAATAAGTATATAATCTTGGTTATGCAAGGTGTATTTTTATTTTCATGTGTGCCGAACTTGCTGATTTTTGATATGCAGACACCTTGGGTTTCATTAAAAACATAACTGACAAATGTGTTATAGTCTTGATAGGGCTTTGCATGTCATGAACTGTGTGCATACAAAGTTCATAAGGCCTCGCCCAGATTAGACCGAAGAAAATATGCTTTTCGGTGTGTGTTTGGCTTGACTGATGGCACTTTAACTCACTAATGAGATTAGGTAAGTCTGTCTGATACAGTTTACTGAATATTCTTTAATAAAAATATTTTAAAAAAAGATGTAGCATTCATTCCTTCACTGTGGAAGATATATCAGAAACCAGTGGTCGTGACACAGCAGCCTTGACATGGCAGCATTGTTTCTAAGCAGGAGATTCACCTATGTTGGTTTAGGGAGCCTGTCATGTAGCGTTGGTAGAAATAAAATGGACTCCAAATAAATCCATGGGTAATACGTGAAGCTGTACTGATTTATTCTTTTTTAATTCATTTAACTTACAGGTTCATATTGACATTTATGACTCCTTGTTTTGGTCTACATTAATAAAATATTCTAGCAGTTAAGATATATAGCATAAATATAGAAGAATGGTTTAGAGTGATCTATCTTAATAAATATTACTCAAGGGAAGGCATATCAATAATAAATGATGTATTCAGTAGATCCTTATTACCTGCTTATAAATAACGTGTCAGTTCTGCACTTCAGGTAGCAACCAACCCAATTTTTTAGATTCTTTCTCTGATTGTTTACTCAGACTGTCGGCGTATTTTAACTTTTGCACAGTGGAGTGGACCTGATCTAGCCTTACCCTTCACCAGCAAGATTGTGCTCTGGGCAAGTGACTTGGGTGGGGGTAGAAGGTGGCATTCCAGAAAATCACAAAGCAAGCTACAAAATGGAACACGTTTTAAGATCTTTTAACATGTTGAGCTTTGCACTGCTGGCTGTAAGGCGAGGTGTAGAGATGGGCACGTTGAACCGAAGTTCTCTAAGTAATGCCAGAGGGAGGTGTATAACATGCTTAGGGAAGTTCTGCTTTGATCTTCAGTGTTGCATTTCACATTTTCATTCTAAATAGTTGTAAATAACTGCACACAGCAGCTTTATACAGCTAGGTAAAGAATTAAAAATTCATTAACTTCTCTGTGAAGAGATACAGAGAAGCTGAGCCAAACTCAGGTTTGTGTTTTCAATACTACTGCAGCAATAGTAAAGGAACACTACTGTATTGTTTCACTGGTGAAACACGTGTATACCTCTTGCAAGGAACGCCTTGGATGCAAAGGTGGAGAATGGAGAAGATGGCTAGTTCAAAAATACTGTAGTAAAGAACTGCACTGAAACCGGCTGAAGAGCAGAGAAATACAATTTTTCAGCCTGAATGACCAACATAGGATGTGTACTTGCCTTCAAAACAGCAAAGGTGGATTTGTACTGAAATAAGAGATATGGAATAAGAAGTCCCAGTCGTGTAGTATGGCTGCGTAACATGTAATACTTCATACATCTACCAGGTCCTTGTTTTTATTTTCTTTTGAAATATTGTGGAAATAAGAGCCAGAAAGGGATTACATTCCTGCAGTCATAACTAAATTACAGCTGTTGTTCCAGGGTAGGAGAGTGATCGTGATACCCTTAATGGAATAGTAATGAGTGAATATTGCCTGAAAACAACTTGAAAGGATGGATTGTTAGGAATTTACCAAAAGGTAAGGTTTTTTCAACATGTGAAAGAAGTAGAATTTGTCACTTTAGAGTGGAATGTCTTTTACCCTCTGTGGACCAGGAAGCTTTGATTATTGTCAAGACTGCTGTTAATGTGTGGCTTTGTGATGCCTTTGTTATTCTAGTAGCATCTAGGAACTGGCGACCTCATAGATCAACAGATCTTGCAAAATACGGGTGCAAAACCAAAGAGGAGCCCTTGTTTCAATAAGCAGTAATGCTGACTCAGTCTCGGTTAGGACCAGGCATTTTGGCTATGGAGGTATCTCCGCTCTGCTCTGCTCTGTTCTGCTCTGCTCTACAGGAGCTTAGTAAACTCAGATATACGTGTATGATTTGAGGACTATGCTGAATGTCGCCTGTTGGAGCTGGTAGAGGATGCTCTAAGAGGAGATCAGCACTGTCACACTTTACCCCAGTATAACAGTGTCTCCAGAAAGATGTGGCAAGCTCTGTATATTACTGTTGTATAAACAATTGATATCAAGAGCATGCGGCCAAAGCCAAGACGCATTCCAGATGCCTCCTTCCACCACCACCACCATATGAACACCACTACCCTCAAATTAAACTTACTTCTCATGAAGAATTAAACTTTTAAAAAATAAGGGTGAAAGAGGCAGACGGCGACATAGGACAGCATGTAAAGCCCATGGAAATGCATCTTTCATCGGCAGGTACAGACACTGATCATGTCGCTGGCAAGTACATTGCAGATACGCAAGGAAGCTGCAGCTGAGGTTAAGATCTTGTTGAGGTCTGTGATAAACATAAATGTTACAAGGCAACTCTCCAAAGCCAAAAGGTACCTTCAACTATCTTACAGAAATTGTTTTAATTTGAGCCTTAGATTTGGGATCTACCAGCAGTGTTGGGCTAATGCTCCATATCTGTGACCTGGGGATTTAAGAACTGGCTGGGATGTGTAGGGGTATCAGTGACTGCTGAGAACGTAGCCCCTGCCCTTTTGCTTTTCACAGGGGAAATGCCTCTGCTCTGCCATAGCTGAGAGGTGGAGGAACACAGCAGCGATTAACTTTGACTGTTCGCAAACTTTCCCCGCTGGAGCCTTCGGCCAGTCTCAGTAATGAGTGGAAATGCTTCCAAGTGGCCCCGTTGCCCACTGATCACATTTTGTATGGCAGCAACATCACAGACTAAAAGGGGTTATTTTAAAGGGTACTCTAAAAGGGTTGTTTTAAAATCGATGTATGAGATTGTGTGTGTGCAGACACGTGTACAGGTGCAATTTCATCCCTCATTTTAAGAAGAG